CACTAGCGGAAACAAAAGAGAAGAGAAAAAAGACAAAAGAGATCAGGGCGGCAGAGATGACAAAGATGAGAACCGGAAATTAATCCGAAAATGCAAATTCTGTGGACGACAACATCGGCGAGGAAATTGCCCAGCATATGGTGTAGAATGTCAAAAGTGCCACAAATCAAATCATTTCGCCTCCGTTTGCATGTCTAGGAGGCCAAAACCAGTCCACACTGTGGAAAGCGATGACGACTATGATGAAATCAAAACAGTAGAGTTGAACCCCGTTGACGAGATTAACGCCGTGGCAACACGTAAATTTCCGAAGCGCCTTTTCGCAACGATAAATGTGGGCAAGACGCCAGTACGCTTTCAGCTCGTTAGTGGAGCCTCATGCAACGTCATCTCGGCGAAAACCCTCGAAAATTGCTTGGGTGAAGTTGAACTAAAGAAGACAACCAGAAGGCTTTCCATGTACAACCGCACCACGATGCAACCATTGGGACTTTGTCAGCTGGAACTCTGCGAGACCAAAAATGGGAATGTGTATCAAGTGGAATTCACAGTCCTAAGGCAAGATTGCACTCCCCTTCTTGGGAGCGAAACCACACAAGAAATGGACCTCATTCAAGTACGTTTTGAAAACATTCTGTCCTTAGATCTTAGCTCAGAGGACAAGCCACTTACCAAAGAATCGCTTATTGCAAAGTTTCCGGATGTCTTCAATGGTACAGGTAAGCTTCATGGCTCGTACCACCTGGAAATTGAAGCAGATGCTATCCCTGTTGTTCACCCTCCAAGAAAAGTTCCCATAGCCATTAAGCCTCAGCTCAAAGAAGAATTGGAACGATTACACAAGCTCGGAATCCTAGCACCTGTCACAGAACCTACTCCCTGGGTTTCTAGCATAGTTGTAGTAAAGAAGCCTAATGGTACCTTGCGTATTTGCATAGATCCGAAGGACCTAAACAAAGTCCTGAAACGCAGTCATTACCCATTACCCATTACCCACCATTGAAGATATCCTGCCAGACCTCAGCCGTGCCAAAGTCTTCAGCACATTTGATGTGAAGAACGGTTTCTGGCACATCGAACTCGATGAAGAGAGTTCGAAACTCACCACATTCAATATGCCCTTTGGAAGGTACCGTTGGCTACGGTTACCCTTTGGCCTCTCCTCTGCTCCAGAGGAATTCCAAAAACGCCAACACCAGGTGATCGAAGGTCTTCCTGGAGTGTTGTCGATACATGACGATATTCTGGTCTATGGTGAAGGCGATACCTACGCAGACGCGCACCAAGATCACGATCGAAAGCTGAAAAACCTCATGAAACGGTGTCAGGAACGCAATGTGAAACTCAACAAAGAGAAGATGAAACTCCGGCGCAACGAAGTTCCTTACATTGGTCACGTTCTCACAGACAAAGGACTCAAACCTGACCCGGCAAAATCCAGGCGATGTTGGAAATGCCCAAGCCAACGGATGTGGCCGGAGTGCAGAGACTAATTGGGTTTGTCAACTACCTCAACAAATTCCTTCCCCGCCTCAGTGACGTATGCGAACCTCTTAGGAAACTAATGGCCAAGGATGTGGAGTGGCATTGGACGGACCATTAGGATCAAGCCTTCCAAAGGATCCGTCAGTTAGTCACCGAAGCACCAGTATTGAAATACTACGAGCCAATGGAAGAACTCACCCTCCAAAGCGATGCCTCACAAACAGGTCTAGGTGCAGTACTCACTCAAAACGGCCAGCCCCTTGCATTTGCCAGTAGAGCCTTGTCAGACACCGAGACCAGATATGCCCAAATAGAGAAGGAGCTCTTGTCAGTGGTTTTTGAGAAATTCCATCAGTACACATATGGCCGAAAAGTTACGTTACAAACTTACCACAAGCCGCTTGAAGCCATCGTAAAGAAGCCTCTCCACATGACCCCGAAACGACTCCAGCGCCTGTTGCTACGATTGCTAGTATATGATGTTATCCTCACTTATAGATGTGGCCGTCAAATGCAGCTAGCAGATACGCTTAGTAGAGCATACTTGCCGCTCACCAATGCGACACCGTTCGAGATGGAAGTTCAAAGTGTAAACATGGTCCAAGATTTGCCGCTCGCAGCAGCTAGACTGGATGATGTCCAAGCCCACACTGCCAAGGATGACACCTTACAAGTGCTAACCAGAGTCATCCTGGAGGGCTGGCCGGAAGACAAAACTGCCATTCCTGCTGCAGCAATGCCCTACTTCAGTGTTAGGGACGAGCTTAGCGTCCAAAATGGGATAATCCTTCGTGGAGAAAGGGCACTAATT